CACTGTATTGTTAGCTCAAGACACTGCTGGGTAGTTCCTGGCTGAGTCAGCCTGGCTGATCCCTGCTGCGCTGGCTTAGGGGCAGCTGCTGGCAGGTGGGTTAGCAGCTGGTCTAACATGTCCCCAACTGATGACCAACGGACACCTTCCAGCACCCAGCCCGGGGTCACTCACATGGCAGTGACCACAGAGTCCCCAAGAGTAGCAGGAGAGGGCCGTTCCAACAAGTGACCAACTGTCAAGTTGCTGGTTATACCCTATCTGCTAACTGTCCCGCTGACTGAAACAAACTCATGGCCGAGCCTTGAGTTAGAGAAAAAGGAGGCTGACTACTCACAGGTGTGGACACCGAAAACAATCTGTCATTCTGCAGCCGTTCAAAATAAAATGGTATCAGGGCCAGGGACATAGCTCAGTGGCACAAGCACCTGTCTGGCAAGCGCAAGGACCTAAGTTCGATTCCTGGTACATACATACATACATAGGTACATACATGCATACATACTAAATAAATAAATACATAAATGGTCTCAAGTCCTCTGACACTTCCCCATTGAACGCTGGGATCTAGGGCCCCGACAGCTGAACCTGGGCAAGCTCATGCTTTCTCTGACCTAACAGGACACAGCAAAAACGAGGTACCATGAAGCTTCCTCTTGCTTCTCTCAACACTGGCTGCCAGGGTGTGCCCTCCCTTACACTCCTCCCAGAGTCTAGCTGCCACATGGCCAGGAGCCCAGTGCACATGGTGGCTGTATGTTGGCGCCAGTCAGGAGTCCCCTGCAATCTCCCCCACAGAGGCTGACATGTGAGTGACAGAATGCACATCGGCCCTGACCGCATGAGTATCCTTGGCGGGAGCCCTGTACACAGAGAGGACAAGCCACGCTGCTGTGCTCCGCCTGAATTCTGAGCCCACGGAACCCCACAGCAGATCCAAGGGCCCTTATTTCGCCCTCCTAAGTTTGTGGAGCTTGTCGGGCAGCAAGAATAACTGGAATACACACTGATCTCAACGTCTGCCTCCCTTCACAGTTCCCAGGACCACAGTCATACGTGAAGCTGGATTTCAACCTTTTCTGGGACTTGGAAAAAGTCTTGCAAATTTTTTTATTTTTTTATGTGGGTACTGGGAATCGAACTCAGGACTTTGCGCTTTGCCAGGCAGGTGCTTGTGCAAAATAATAGTAAAATAATCCAAAATTATTTTAAAATGACTAACAAAGAACATTCAGATTAAACTATTTAATAAAGCAAAAGCTTTACTTCTCAACCAATTTCTCAACTGCACATAATTACTTATATGAAATTAATTACCAAATATGTATCAGATGCCACACACTAGTCACTGCAGTAAATGATGCTAAGGCCTTGTCTCTATAGAGCACGTATTTGGTGACAGGTTAGATTCAATAACTAAAGCAGTATTTAGTAGTAAAAACAAAATGCAAACATTTATTGGGTGTTCGCTATGTACCAAGCACTGTAATGACTGCTATAGATGTTCTGGTGATTAAGGTACAGTGTCAACTTGATTGGTTTGGGATTGATCCAGAGAGCACTAAAGGCACATCTTGATGTGTCTCAGTCATACAGGCATAACCTTGGGACTGCATCTGGTCCTCACCTTCTGCTCTGGCACTGTTTCCCTGCTCTGCTCCTGGTTACTATGAACTGAACATCTTTCTTCCACCATGCCCTTCCACCATGATCTTTCTGCTTTGGAGCCTGCCAACCATGAACCAAATTCTCTGAAACCATAAAGCAAATTACACTTCTCCTTTACATTGTGACAGGTATGGTGTCCCAGGGACAGCAAAGTTGACTAATACAGATGCTAATAAATGATATGTCATCCAACCTGAGGTAAATACTGTTATTATTCCTGCTTGAAAGATGAATAGAATAACAGAATTATGAAACCTGCTTTTTGTTGGAAATCATGATCAACCAGTAAGAGCTGCATAAGGAGGTTCATGAATATGTCCTAAATCATGAAACAAGAAATACAGGGGCTGCCTATAACTAGTCAATCCATCCTCATCTCCAGCAGCAACATACCTACTGTGTGTCAGGTATTATACTAGGCTCTTGATGCCAACTGTGAATTGGACAGCCTTATTTCTTGCCCTTAGTTTACACTAGTGTGCACCCACTTGAAATCACAAATTACTTCATTGCATACATCTCTGCATCACTCTTCTTACAGTAAATAGAAATCCTATGAGGTGTGTATCACATTTTCTCTATAGTCTAAAGTGCCACAAATATAAGGCACCTGGGACTGTTAATAAAAACAACAGGTTTCTAAAAGCTTCCAGTGAATACTACTAGATAAAAATCCTCTAATACAAATATATAAGTATCAGGAGACCAACAAGCCTTAACGAAGTAGGAGAGACATTATTTCAGATCAGCTGGACTGACCATCTGGACGTACTTGTCATCTTCTATTTTAGTAACACCCCGTCCCCATAACGCTAACTTTTCAGTGAGTTCCAGGCTTAGCTTTTAAAGTATTATCTCTTTTAGGGAGAGAGAGAGAGACAAGTTTGGGCTTTCTTTTCTACTTCTTGGGATACAACTGGCTGGAGGGTTCTTATATCCTTTTGAGAATACTGACTTTAGCCAATAACAATCTGAGCTCTTCCTATACAGCTGCTACAACTGAGGCAAAACATACTTCCTACAAAATGGCAAACCTTAGGTTCTTTCCCAGACTATAAGAAGCCACTTTTCAGTAACCCGGAGAGGCCAGGAGTGGATCTGGCCATTGCTTTATGCCCCTGTATGCCACCAAGCATCAACTTCCAGCGACCATCTGTGAGTGTGTCCTCCATCTGCACCAGGTGAAACTTCCTGCCCTCACCACTTTTGTGCTTCTCTTTGCTCCAAAGTGAAGGATGTTCTTAAATACCAGGGTGTTTCCACTATCACAAGTTTCAATACAATGTCAGTGTGGGAGCAAATGGTAACAGATACCATATGAAATCCATTTGTGAAGATGTTTACTCTTAATTGGAAAAAAACTGAGTGTTTAGTATTTATTCTCCATGGATACCAAAAAAATTTAAGGGTAGGAAGACATATCTGTTTAAGACCTTAAACTTCAAAATTTAAAGCTGATTTACTTTCTCACCAAATATGTATCAAGTAATTCCTACTTATTTTTCTAGAATCCTCAAGAGCAATCTTGATTGAATCATTCCAGAATGTTCAAGTTCTATTAAAAATAAAAGCAAATTTACCCTCACTTAAAGAGTACGATTAATTTAGTAACTAGAGGTTATCTGCCTTGTAAAAAGGACGCACTGAAGATTTATGAATACTTTTCAGATAAAAAGTATTCATTCTTAAAAATGATGGCTTTGAGATCGAGGCACATCTTGCCCTCGACAGCTCTCACCAGCTGCCACAGGGTGTAGTGGAGTCTCCCTACCACATCCGGCCAGGGTGAGAATCACTCACTGCAGACGTTGTCTGAGTACTTTCTCTCCCGTGTTTGGCCTACACAATCATCTAGCCCAAACAGCACTCTCCCATCCGATTTCATTTCACATTGGAGCTTTCTCTTCAAAGCATTTCTCCAACAATTACACATTCTTACAAACATGAATTATCCCAATGCACTGCAAACCAAAGAATACAGTCGGGCAAAGTAAAGCGGAAAGTTAAAAGATTTAAGGACTTCCAATGCTGAAATGGGACAAACCATCCAATTCGTTCACATTCTTTGAAAGAGAAGGAAACGCTAGCCTTAGGTTGCTCTATGAGTCATGACTACAAAAAATTCTTTAAAAAAGTCCGCATAGTACGTCCAAATTATTCAAAACATTTCCAGTTTTTGAATGGAATTCTGGCTCCCGGGCTGATCAGAAAGAACTCGCAGGCAGCTACGGATGCACGGGTTCTGGGCTCTCAGATCAGAGCTCCTTCAGCAAACATTTCACTGGGAGAAAAAACCCCATGGCCATCGCAAAACTGATGAACGTGGTCTGGATGCTTTAGTCAACTCTGTCACTTCTGTCTAAGCTAAACTTGGGATTTTTACATTCCAGCAATCCCCACAGCACCTGGGCTGACGAGGCAGCCTCGGGAGATCGGGTACTGTGGTCCCCACGTCCAGAACACTCCAGAGGAGAACCAGACCACGGCTGGGTGCACCAAACCCTGTGATGTCGTCTTTAATCTTGCAAACTAACTGATCACGGAATCAGCACAGGCAGAGGCAGGAGGGTGGGGGCCTGCGCACCACAGTTCCAAAGCACCAACAACACTGCGTGCTTTGAACAGACACCGACAACGTCCTGTGGCTTTTACCTGTGCCGGGGAACGGGCATTTCTCCAGTCACGACCACACCTAAAGGAGCTACTAGATCCATGTCTCACCTAACGCGCATCAGTACGTCACATCTCAATTACCTAAACATACGCAAAGAAGCAAAACTTCTCAAAATGACATCTGAAATACAGGCCTTTCCTTTTATGGGATAAATATTACCAAAGTTATTAATTTAAAACCAATTACTTATATTTTAGCTCAGCAGTAGGATACTTGCCTAGCATGTGGGAGGCCCTAGGTTTGACTCCCAGCACCACAGAAATAAACAGACAGACATAGATAGATAGGTAGATAGATAGATAGATAGATAGATAGAATCAATTATTTGCATTTTATTGTTAACCGCAGAATAAACATTTTCTTAAAGAAAGTAACCTTTGGGAAAGCTTTTTCATACTAGAATGACGCAGACTATAAAAACCAGTTGGACATATTCATTTCTTTAACAGACTTCTAAAATGTTTTCAAAAGGTAACAATTTTAAATGATTTTTTCAAAGGATTTGTAAATTACATTACAAAGCAATCTGAAATGTAAAGGTTAAAAGTCTGAGGAACTGAAACATTCTTGTACCTAAGATGCAAGTAGTTAAATATCCTATTATACATATGTCTTACTATTTCGAACAACTTTACAAAGAATTAAGTAAAATACTCACAGTTACTTATCACACCTCCGAGTGGATCACCTTTAAAGTCAAACTCAATATCCATGTATTTTCCCTGTCAAAGAAAGACGTGGTGAGTTTTCAAGTTCACCTCAAAACAGAGTATCAGAGAATACAATAGGAAGCCCTTATTTTAATGCATTGGTTCAGATGTAATTAAGAAAGGCACTTCAAGCAACCATGAGGCAAAACAAGAAGCCTCTGTAAATAATTCATACTACCTAGCCCTTTTGCTCAAAGCACATCTATCCCGCTGCTAATTTAAGGATTGATCTTCTCAGCCATCGTGTGACATTCCCACTGCAGAAATGTTTTGCCAACTTCTGAAGGGCATGGGTACCCAAATTAAGAATGAAAACTGGGGAAAGTAAGTAGTTCTTCCATATGCCCTGACTGGGAGGAGAAATCATCACATTTTTATAAGCAAAATATGTTGTAAACCCTGCTGGACAGGGGATGAAATGCAAAGTTTCATTTGTACATGTGCTCAAGTCATATAGATGACTACGTGGTGTGACCAGCTCAGAATCTGACACGAATCATTATTCTTTTTTTTTGGCTTTTGACTGGGATTATATGGCAAACATACAACCCAGGTTCATATTGCAATTTAATAGATGGTGTCTTAAAACACGCACGTAGTTTAATACTGAGAATTTTTCTTTTTAAAGAATGGGTCTATTAAAAAAAAAAATTGGTCTATAATTGCCAGTTAAAAAAATAACAAGAATAGCAGAACAACCCTGACAGCTGTTTCTTGTTTAGAAAAGGGTATGATGCTTTAGGAAGCCTTTGGTCTCTTCATGTCCTGTCTTAAAAGCAAATGGTTTACAAATCTCCCGAAGAACGACTTTAACTTTCATTTGCAGAATGAGAGGCAGAGAGAAGAAACGTGGTCACCTGGAACTCGGTCCGCAATGCGCTTGGTCACTCTCTGTTCACTTAGGCACACTCCCTCCCACCACCCGCTTTCTCACTGTCATCTTACTCGACTGGGCAAACACTGCTTCGCTGCAGAAACAGCCCAAGGAAAGGCGAGGCACCTGACTCCAGTTTATAGTGGAAGGGGAATGGAGGCAGGCGAACAGGACCTTCCCGGGGCAAACCTCACCGCACAGCAAGGCGTTGTGTAGAGAAAGCAGCAGACGTCTGCACAGCTTAAATGCAAAATCCCCAGAGTGAGACCGGCAAAGAGGTGGCAGAGCAGGGAGAGCAGGTGTAAGAATCGGCAACCTTATAGATCTTTGGCAGATGGGCAGAGGACCAAGGGAAGGAGGCAGGGGGAGAAGGGAAGGGGACATAAAAGAATTAAGATGTGTTATGTGCATGTGTAACTCCCCATGATGAATGCAATCATTATGTAGTACAAACGTGCCGATAAAATATTCTAAAATTTGGCATCCCTCAGCATAGTGAGTGGAGTGGAGAGGCTGGTGGGGGAGCTGCAGCACCCCAGGTGCTTGAGACATTCTCCTGACCGCAAGCCTTGTCACTAACGCTCCTGAACAAGGACGTCATGATCAGACCTGCCTGCTGACAAGTCTGCCTGGCGAGGGTGGCGCTGGCTGCCAGTGAGACCGAGCAGATGTGGCTGACAGCAGGGGACTGTGGCGATGACAGGAGGGATATGGTGGCTTCAAGTAAACGCAGCAAGAGAGAAAATCAAACGGAGTTGAGAGCTACCCACAGAGTGACAGTAACAGGCCTGGGTGGGACTTGGAGATGAGACAGGATCAAAAGCCTAAGAACGCGGCCCAGGCCACTGAGTGGACAGTGTGGCCCTCCATCAGGGACACAGGACACCAAGTCACCACAAGGGAGGGGAGAAATGGTCCGACTATCAGGAGGGGACCGAAGGCCAGAGGATGCACAGCACCTGCAAAGGGTGCAACAGGCGTGGACAAGGATGCGGGGACAGATGCGGCAGAGGATGCAGGGTTAATTCCGTGTGAGGGCCCAGATGATGATAACTTTTTGGAGAAGCCATACCTTCAGCTGGGAGCAAAGGACAGCTCTGAAGAGAGTCAAGTCACCACTGCTGAAGGCATTTTGCAGGTGACTGAAATTCTTACTGAGTAAGACGCTAGGGAATGAAGCTCGCAGGGTCTCTGCGACACTGCCCAGGGCCTGGCTCAGCCTCCACGCAGATACAAGCTCCACACACTGCCCCTCCCAGGAAGCCTGGTGGGCAAGAGCAGGGATGGTTCCAAGCAGTTTGAGGACAGTCTAAAAACTTTTTCCTGGGCTTGTGGTGCATGCCTGTATTCCTAGCTCTCAGGAGGCTGAGGCAAGAGGATTGCTGTGAGTTTGAGGCCACGCTGGGCTACATACTGAGTTCAAGGCTAGCTTAACTACACAGGGATACCCTGTCACAAACAAAACAAAACCCCACACACGAAACAAAAGTAGTAAGATGAAAACCAAAAAACCCTTCCTTACAAGTTCAGTAAGTCACACTAGCAAGGTCGGGATGGGTGGGGATCACGCGCCAGCTATGAGGAGCATGCAGGAACTACGACATAGCAGATTCCATCAGGTTTCTTAGTGCAGGCTCAGGAAATTCCTTCTGGGTTAACGAAACAGTCAAAATATCTCCCAGGTCCCTGCGCACCAGTATAGCCTACATAAACCACTGCGACATGCAGCAGTAACTTTAAGTGCAATAGAGCACTAGTGGTATACAAGCATACCTTAATGCATTTGGGTGTAATCCAGGCACAGGCCACAAAGAGGAGAAATTACTAAAACCTGGGCATGAAATGACTTACTCTATAATCAAGTGTTAATCTCACAGCCTAAGACCCATGTTTTAATACGATTTCTCCGAAGCTACTTAATAAGCTAAATCACCCGCCAAGCCTTTCACCAGATTTTGTGTATGGCTAAGTACTAATGACCTTTTAAGCAATATGTTTTTTTCCATTTGTACTGCCTGGAGACTACATATATTTGGTAAATATTTTAAGAGGTGTGTTTGTACACAAAATTTGCAAGCAAAATAAAACCTCCATCCCATGAAGAAGCTTGACTGCTGAAATTACTTCTATCTGCCCACACCTCACTTCTGTTTATACATTGAGATTAGCCATGTCACCACAACAGGAAAAGGCACCGAGCAAGTCAGTTCTAACAACTTAACAGGCTAATCCGATGGAAAAAATCCACAGCCTTGGAATCAGAAAGTTAGTTAACGTTCCACTTTCCAAGCCGTCCAAAGCACCTCTACCTGAGGTCATTCTTCTCAAGCACTGGGCAACCTAATAAGGAAAAAGCCAAGCGATCTGAAGGAAAGGGGAAAAGGACCAGGAAGGGAGCAGGGAGGAGGCAAGGTCATCAGACATGGTCCCCACGGCACAGGTCATGTGTGTGGAAAGACCATTTCAGATAGAAATGCTCGCACTTGGTGAAACCACAGAGGGGACAGATCTCCACGCACGCCACCACACTCCGCACATCTGGCCCAGCAGAGGCCGTGCTAGGTGTGTGCCTGTGAAGATCAAAAGCACGGAGCCCGGCACCGCTGGGGGCGCCCAGAGGCACCAACACGAGGCGCATGTGCTGGACAGCTGGGGACGGGCGTGGCAAGGTGGCAAGGGCTTGGCCCCCGCTAGTGAAGTGGCATCCTCCACTCAGCTGAGTCAGGACATCAGCAGGGCTCAGTTTACCCCTCGCCTCCCATTTCTTACCCATCCCACTGATGTCACCACCGAGAAGCTTTAGAACACATGCTAGCTTCACGGGGCCCACCAAACAGGGGACAAAGATAATAGGGTATACAAACCTGATACCCAGTTTTTCCTTCTACTTCAATTCTGATTCATTTTTAAAATATTTTAAAAATTTTAGTTTATTAACACATGTGCAGTACATAATGTTTACATTCCTTGTGAGGGGTTGAAACATAACACACCTGAACGCCACTGTTCCCCCCTTTCCCTCCCTCTCCCTCATAATTTCTGATTTTTAATTATGATTTCTAAATACCAACACTCAGTTAAGTAGAGTCATTCTAAATAGTCTCATTTAAATCACTCATGGAATTTTATGGTAGAAAGCATGATAAAAATAGCTTACCACTCCAAGAATTAAAAAAAATTACAGAAAGAAAAAAGAAACAGTCCCTGTGGGAATTTCAGGGTCTCAGTAAGGACGGTATTTTTATTTTTAAAATGTGTGTATTAAGAAACATTAAACAGCCACTGGTTGTTTAAACATACATGAATTAAAAATATCAGCATTAAGTAAGCTTACACAAATACTTACAAATCTAGAAGAGTTGTCATTCCTTACAGTTTTGGCATTTCCAAAAGCTAGCAAGAAAGAAACAGATGCACAGTTAAAGTTGATAGAAAAAATAATTTCAAGCAGAAACATAAAGCAAATATAGTACATAAGTTCTATCATTCCTGGCAAATATAGCCTATAGCCAGGACACTTCTGTGCTCCAAATTTCCATAGAATCACACTTCACAGAAGTTTCAGTAAGTTTCTAAACTTCCACATCTTATAACAGTCATAGAAAGAGTCATGATTAATAGAACTTCTTCAAGCATCACAGTAGACATAATCTTTCCTAATTCAGTGTTTTAAAACTTTTAGGTAAGAGTCAGGCGAGCAACTAGCAGGCAGGGCTTCTGTCCTTCCACCACTATTCCCGAACAGATTACTTTGGAAGTGAGTCTCACAGGCTTGATGCAATTGGATGAAGTTTCCAGATCAGAGAAGGTGGCATATAAAACTTTAAGTTGTTCAGTTTTAAAGTAAAGCTATTTATTTAAAATGTGCTTAATTATATAACTCTGCGACAAAGAGGCTGACTAAAAATGCTACACAATTTCATTAGTTTTATGTCCCTGAGACCTATATGAAAACTTCTAGAGAATCAAATCGACCCGAAGTGCAAAATGTACATCTGTTCTAATCTTAGATGTGTCAAGGAAACCAGTGTCCTGAGGAATTCGCTCTTAAAGCGGGGCCCACCAGGACCATGTGGCTGACACTACAGGTACAGAGGTCCCCGCACAGCACAGGTGACACATGCTCTTAAAGGACAGTCACCAGGCCTGTTTGCCAGACAGGGAAACGGCGGTGGAGGATTAAGGAGTATAATGCAATGCACAGAAGTGGAGGGGACTCCGTAGGAATTCAGCAATGCATCACAAACTTTCATGCGCCAATCAGAGGCCTGAGGCGGGACTGCAGTCCGCATTTCTACAGGACCCCCCGGCTGTTACAGAGACCGTGGGACTGCACTGCAGCTAGTAAGGAAGAATGTATGGCAACATGGTGAACAGAAATGAACCTCTGAAGTACGGGGCTGGGCATCACGTCTCTGGACGCCTCTGTAGAACCTTCTAGTTAACGGGGGTAGAAGGGGGTTAGAGTCACAAACACCCAAGTGAGCACTACGGGCTAAAAGCTGGTTCTAGTTTTGAAAGCAGTCACCCGATCAATGGAAGTTAACCTAAGGCACTTGGCACCCAAACCTGGTGTGTTTGTTGTATTTCACATTAAGAACTGATACATGTTTTTGACTTTTATACAGCAGTTCGCTCAGGATCAGTTAAGACAAAGTTTACAAAGGTAATGCAGAGAAGGTCCTCCTACTACTTGGGGTGAGCCTGGTTTGCCAAGTTCCTGACACCAAATCCTTCGACAAGATGCTGGGATACTAGGCTGCATGAAGAAAGCTGCAGACTGGAAATACTCAAAAAAAAGCCCACGAGAGGATCCCATCTTAGTCCCGGGTCAAAAGGCTTTTTCGAACGCAACCATGACCACGGTGGATGCTGCCCTACTTATCACGCAGACAGTGGTATTCCTTGTGTTTTCACAGGCTACCCCCTTTTTGGCAGGTGTGAAAACGTAGGGCTGCCAAGATAACAAACTTGCATAGCCCCAAAGTCCAGCTCAAGATGCTGACAAATAAAGGACAGTTTACTCTGACTTGAAGGTCAAGGGCAATTGTAGGATTTGCTTCCAAAGAACTTGATTCCAGGCAGCATTTGTAAGCCATAAACCATCTTTTCATCAAACCAGTCTAGAGCTGCACAGTACTAAACACAGCCCTAAACACTGAAGCCTTTTATTGTGACCCACGGAACCAAAAACAAATGTGCCATTATAGAACCCTCGAGACACATTCCTCAATTGTTTTTTTTTAAGTTCATTGTTCGAAATGTTCATTTACAGTAGCAGCTCCGGTTAGAAAGGAAAGCATTCCCATAAAAGAGAATACATGCCCACAGTGGACATTTCTCCCATTTCCTGCACTGCAGCCTCGCTTCAAATACCACTGAATACAGAGCCAGATTCTAGTCGCAGATGCCAGCGAGAGCACTTCACAACACTGCTCCTGTAATCCCAGCATTCTTAAAATAAGCGTATGCAGAAATACAGCCCGTGTAAGAGCAAGAGACAGTAAACACACAGGCACATCTTGGTGAAATAAAAGGAAGAGGTATCATTTCTCTGGCTTATTATGGCACTGGAGGGGAGAAAGATCAAAACAACTTATTAGATGACTGGCCTTCACTTCTGCTCTCTCCCTCTCACTCCTCTCTCTCTACAGTGCTAGGGATTAAACGTAGGGCCTCATGCATGTGTCCTGCCCTCGGCATCTCTGGCTTCTACACATGCCAACTGTGCCCTTGGCCCTAGATGTTAGGAGCAAAAATGCCTCCATCCATTACTGATGCTCCCTGGGGAGTCAAAACCACACCTCACTGGAATCTCTGGGCTGGGGAAGTAGCGTGTTCAACTCTTTGCTCAAAGTCCCAGAAGGACAAGACTTCTCAGGGATGAAAGCCTGCTCCTCTAGGGTAAGTGCGCAACCCCCGACCCCGGGGAGGAATGGAATGCAGCCCTGTGGTCTTTGACGCTCAGGCCCTGCCCATCCTTTTCTTGTGGGGACACTCCTGAACCCTCAGCACCCGCTCTACCCCAGACACACTTTCTCGGTTAGCTTCTCCATTTTATGACAAGGACACCACACCATCTGCATCCTCCGGTGATTAGGACCACAGAGGAGCAAAGGGGCTGGGATGGAGCTCAGCAGGTAGCACCTGCGTGAGAGCCCAGGGCACAAGGTCTGGCACTGCAGAAAGACAGAGACACACACACACAGACCAAGATGGGTAGAGACAGTGGTAGAGAAGGAAAGGTGCAGTTATCTACTGTGCTGTCTTTGTCTTTCCCGCCCTCTGCCCTTCGGGACAGGACTGCACCACACAGACATATCCAGTCTAGTCGCGTTGCAGTCCAAAAAGTCTATGTAACCCCAACAAGTGTAAACAGTAGTAAGCGCTAAAGACAAGCCAAAAATACGAAGTTACTGGCCTCCCGTCAGCAGGAAAAGGCACTGACGTATGGTTCCCAATATAAGGATGGTTCATACCATCCTTTCCGGAATTAAGAGAGCTCTTCTCTCGCTTCACTTTCTGATGGTGGTGTGGAACAAGCACTCCGCCCGCTCCCTTTCATATGCTGTAGCTCTCACCCTCAATATGACGGTGCTGGGAGGCGCAGCCTTTGGAGATGATCAGGGTTAGAAGAGCTCGTGAGGGTGGGGCCCTCACCAAGGGATTAGTGCCCTTAGAAGAAAGGACACCGGACAGCTCACTCCTGCTGTCTCCCGCCAATGCACACTTGAAGAGCTCATGAGAACACACACCACAGGGACAGCCACTTGCATGCCAAGATGAGAGGCTTCAGAATGAAACCCACCTCGCGAGACTTCCAGCCTCCAGAGATTGAGAAAACAGATTTCTGTTATCTAGGCCGTCAGTCTAGGGCTCTTTGTTGTGACAACACAAGAATAGATTGTGCAAGCTCCACGGTAAGGTTTAGGCTTTCTATGGCTTGAAAAATCTGGTCCTGAAGGATTTCCCTGGCAGCAAACATAACCAGCCACGGGTGTTCTCCTGAATGGTAAAACACTACTGCACCATTATAGCAGATATATATATATATATATTTTTTTTTTAAGCAAAATCTAAGTAATTCATAGGGAGAAAAGGATTAGAATGCTCCTTCTCATGAGTAAACTGCTTTAAGTGTTTCAAAGACATCTTTTATTTGCACTACAGGTTTTGGCCTGAATTTCTTCCATCGTCACCCCATCTCTCAGCAACCCAGGAAGGTGAGAGCCCTGAAACTGGATCCATGGCTGGCAGCCACCCTGGGCCAGCGGAGATGGACAAACCTACCTTCCAGGACCGGGTTGGACTGCAGAAGCTGCTCTTTGACTTGGTTAACTTCTGCTCCTTTTCCACAAACAGCTGCCACGTAGGACATAACCAGCTTGCTCGCCTCTACGAATAAAACAGGCTGTGTTAGTCAATCCCATATACATTATAACCACCATTTTTTGTGAGGGGATGAAATTGAGGGGGAACACTAACAGTGTTTTCAAGTGCCTTTATATCCGAGAGTAATAATGTGAGGGGAATTTTTTTCAATCTGTGTGCTTTCAGACAGAACAGGAATTGTGCTTAAAGGTTATCACCAGGCTGTTATAAAGACTGCCTAGTAATACAACCAACTAAACCTCAGGAAAATTGTATTCTTTTTTATTATTATTATTTTTGTTTTTGTTTTTTTTCTGGTACTGGGAATCGAGCTCGCGACCTTGCACTTGCCAGGCAGGCGCTGTGCCGCTGAGCTAAATCACCGGCCCCCAAGAATCGTATTCTTAAAGCAATCTATTACCGGACTAGAATTATTACAGATGATTCAAGCCAAAAATAACTTGGTAACCTGAGCATCTTTAGACCAAAGGTGTTTCCAAAGTTTCAAAGAACTGTTCTTCTTCAAAATATTTTCTAAACAGAGTGGTTTACTCCCAATTAGACCAGATTGGTTCCTCTTCAATTCAGTCCAGAAACTGTACTACTGGTGGGTCTGACCAATCCTTCAGAGTAGGTTCAAGTTCAAGGGCTTCACGAGTAACCCTGAAAGGGAAGCTGCTAAGAGACCCGCCATGTGAGGAAGGTCCTTCTCTCACACAGGTGAGGTGGACAAATTGCTTTTGATAGTTTTTCCCTCCTTTATCAGTCCATGTTGCCTCCCAGCATCTGCCGCCTAGACCCTGATCCCATGAAAGCTGAATTTCAAGGTATGACCACAGGTTTCCCAGGGAAAGGCGGTCCAGAGCCCAGTGAATGTGGGGCCACAGGGAGAGTGGTGCAGGGAAGCACAGAGACTTCCGCAGGCTCACATGCACTGTGCACTTGGGAGAGGACCCAGAGGCTTGGCTTGCCCAAACTGATTTGCCTTGGAATGTGCTTCCTGCTGAGCTGTTTCACGCTAATGCTCCATAATCAGGATATGGGAAACGCTCAACTATTAACTGTCTGTAGAATAAAACACACACCCTGGTCCCGAAGAACGGAAGCTCATCCCCAAAAATGTGCTTCCTCTCAAGTCTCTGCACTGCTGGTGGTGGCCACAGCAGAGAGCCTTCCCCAGGCACAAACGATGGTGCCTCTGCTTTCGGTGTAACGAGACAACTCAACGCTGCAGTAAATGATAAAGGAACAGAACACAGGTAACACAATAAAGGAGTGATAGAGTGCCACTTTGGGAGACTATGGCCAGCATGTGCCTCTGAGCATTAGGGCCTCTGAGCAACCTAAGTCAATGAACAAGACGCACGGAGCTCCAAGAGCCTCAGCAGGTCCACCAAGCTCTGCAGTCGTAGGATGATGGCTTTAGTGGTACAGTACTAGCAAATATGGTACAGGGGAGGTACACAACCTCATGGAGCCCTGAGAGCTACGGCTGGAAGCTGGATTCTCCTTCACGACTGGAGTTAGGTCTCCCTCTAATCTGCTTTCTGGACAAGGAAAATGGGTTTCTCTGCTCTATCAGACCACTCCACGTGTGCATTTTAACTTGGGGCCCAGCCTCTGACCCAGCTCCTCAAAGCTCATCCCCCACACCCTCACAAAGGCAATGGATATGCTTCTTAATTGACAGAAACTTCTGGCCCATCTTCCCTCCCACTTCTTTAAAATTAGGAGACTGAAAACACAGGTAAAATAACCATTTTAAACAGTGGCAAATATGCGCACGCACATGCACACACACACACACAATTTTAGATGGAAGGTAAGTTTTCAACTGACAAGAGACAAAGGTCCAGGCTGTTCCTTTCATTCTGGTAACTAGGGACTTCCCATGGCCAAACCCCACACTTCAGATTCACGGCCACACTGAGCTCCTGGGAAAGCCTGGCCTGGTCTAGGAGGAGGGTAGGGGTGAGACAACAACCGTAATGAGAACCCTTCAGCAGTTGTGAGAACTGAGTTGGCCTCTAAAAGGCCTTTTTTGGACCAGGACAAATTGGGATCAAGTTCTTGTAGGGTCAAATCTGTCTGAAAGTGGCACCAGGAGCAAATCTCTTAGAATATAGATTGAGCTTTTATCACTTGCCCTTTAAAATATATATAAACCCACAATGCCTACTGGTATATACAGACTACTGATTTAAAGTGACTTTAGAAGTTGCTTAAACAAACTTTAAAACATATTTAGGCAATTCTAACATAATTTTAAAATACTATTCAAAGATATACTTCAAGCCATTTTAAAAACATGTAATCCAAGTGAACAAAAAGTTTTTATGCTCACATTCTTAACGCTCTTCAGGAATCTGTCTTATTGAGCTCATTTTAATAATTCATTTTTGGAAGCTGGGATTAAGAGTAATTTCTTTGAAAGTCACACTGTCTGCAAGCGCCAACTCATTAATGGTTTCTCTGACATAATACTTGATCAAGCAGTTCATGAAGTTGGTACTGCGCTCACAAAGTGGGTAAGGAAGAGTTGTGAGGTCCATCCCTGCTGAGCTATCGACTTCAGTGGTATTTCATTACCTGGGAACAGGAAATCACGACTAGCTCAGGAGGCTTTCAGTTTCATTTCCTTTAGGCTTGTCAGTGCTAAAGTTCAAATAAATTTGGATCTGCATTCAAACATTTATGGATTTATACACATCAGGTCGAAAGAGAATCAAGAATTGAATATCATCCATATTTCAAAGTCTAGTCTATGAACTAAGCTGTTAAACAAATTACTGGCATTTAAAATTGGCAAAATGTAACAGGCCAGCTTAGAATCAATTCATGGCTCGTTGGTCTCCGTAACTCATAGGTGCTACACATATGTAAATTTCTACACATTTGAATATAACTTGAATTTTAAAATTTGCCAGCAGTTGGACAAACAAAGTATGAAATTTTCTTGTCACCAGACAATGGTAAGACATTTACAGTTAACAAATATTCTGCATTCATAAACAAATGACTGATGAAATGCTTTTTGGACCGAATGTCTAAATCAGAATTCATTTCTACAAAGAATGGAAAGGGGTTATGCATGATAATTTACGATTCTAGGGATTTTAAAGTCCTGCAGGAGTGAGAATCATTTCAGCCCGTGTTCTCTGGTACTCTGTACTGGATTCTGTGTAATATATATGTTATTATGTAAGTATCACATAATCAGAATTATATGAGTTCATATGTATTATTTTTTAATGAAAGAAAATCTTATGAAATGGTAGTAGGCAAGTAAACAAGCAGAAACAAACATTTCAGTGAAAGACTCTGTGATCTCGGGGGCAAAAGTCTGAAAATCCCACTCCTAAGAATCACTTCTATATATGTGAGTTAAGCCAGCTCCACATGGATTTATTCACTGTGTGGGGCAGGCAGGAAAAGGTATGAGTGTAGGCAAGGCTTATGCTGAGCTTTTCATTTTCATATTCACAGATACCTGGAATATCATGTGTGTTACATACAGGTCATGTCATATATTTCAGTCTAGCATTCAGAAAGAGCCACACATCATACACACAGACACATGCATATATATGCCTCTCTACATCTTTGGTTAAGATGCTTGAGTTTTTCTAGGGACCAAGCTTTCACAGGTTTGGTGGTTCACAGACCTACAGTCAGACTGCCTATGCCAACCCAAGCACGAGTTGCGAGCACAAGTGCTCTGCCACTTAAGAGTTCTCCCGTTTTGGTGTCCCAAGTCTGAGGGCTGCGACACACTCAGGCCGAGCCAACCAGACACTGTGAACTGTTCAACCTGAGAACAATGCATGTGTCTTGCAAAGAGAAAGCAACTTTGCTACAAGGGGACTCCTGGCTGGTGACAGTTTCACTGAAATGACACAGTATGTCACTACTTCTGAAAGTGGGCCGTAAGAACCTCAGAGAGATTCATACAAAACATGGGTCTGAAGGAGCCTGTCTCACATGGGGAAACAAACAACAGCTGGCTACATCCTGGCCTTGAGCTTGTTGAGCCATCTCGCTTCCTGGTGGATGTCTTCAGTGGGGTGAAATGCTTGTCCAGGCTGAGGCTAGGTAAGTCAGTGACATCTCTGTTCTCGAAGAGAAGGGAACTATGGCAGATATAAAGCAGGATGAGGTTGTGTGGGGCTAGAACCAAAGGGCTTCAGAAGCAAGGCAGGCTGCCTAGCGCTCCTAGCAGATGGCTGACGGGTTCCTAGAAACTGATGTCACTGTAGAGTTAGAAACCAAATAATTCATAGTGTTTTCTTATGTCAGGACCTCTCAGGCGCAGATTTCTTCTGATGTCCTTGGAAAAATGTAGTTCAGACGGTTCCCTCGTGTTCTGCCTCCTCGCCCTCAACTATGCTTCAGGGCTTTGCCACAAATTATCTGTATTCACTGTACTGAGCTGTGAGTTAGTTGCCTAGAAATACTTGAGCACTTTTATGAGGCATGATGAATTTTTTATTCAGCACAGCAGTGATGAATTAAATAGCACCCCAAAGGACCCAAAGAGTTCATGCCTCTCCCTAAGTGTCCATATTCTATAACCCCATGGCTTAAACATGTCTCCCACGCTTAAGCCCAATCATACCAGCATCTGCCAAGGGGATTTATGACCGAGTTAAATTAATTACTTGTTGTAAAGTAAGCCCTATGTGGTAGTTCTATACCAACTATTCAGTATCGATTATAAATGAATAGTGGAATTCTGTGAAAAGCCCATTCCAGGTCCTCAATAAACATTCGTTCTCTTCTTCCATTTCTTTACCAACACCAAATTTTAATAGCTCAAAACCAAGAGTGTTAAACTTGTGGGTAAGATAATTTGATGATTCATAAGTGCTCTGGTATCCTTCCTCCCTCAGAGTTGAGATAGAATCTCCCTCTCTACATTCCTCACACCACTGGGCTGAAATCGCCATACTGTCCCCCTCCTCTCATTCTCCCTGAGTAATCGTCATGCAACAGAGATTTAGGAAGGCACAAGTTTTAGGCTCTATTCACCTTAGAGTCCAAGGACAAGTTAAAATCACAGGCAAATTTGAAGCAATTTTTCCACCAGATTCCAAAAGGAAATAAAAGCAGAAAAAGATAGGAACAAGTTGACAAGACAGGTGTCTCCATGGGGACTGAGTGGCAAAAAGTGCTGCTGAGATGAGACAAAAAGTAGAAAGACCCATGGAGGAGCGGATCCCCACAGTGCTGCTAAGTCTGGATGTAAAGGCAGCAGCTGTCGGGCGCTGTCCCACCTCCCAGACCTGCAGGGTTCAGGGACAGAATGGACATCCAAGGCGTGCAAGGCTACAGTTCACTGTGAGATGCAGGGAGCACAGCAGCTCAAACACAAGACAGATGCCTTCAGTGAGCCCCAGACAATGTGACTCAAGGTATGGCCCAAGATGGCCAATCCATGGACTGCTCCTCATCACACATGAGGCTGGGCTTTTAGAAGCTGTGGTAGCAATTTGATAGTCTGCTGAAATTAAGTAAAATACTGGAGCTTGTTATTTGCTTGTCTTGTGTTTATTTTGCTGCTATCAAACAGCAACAGATGTGGGGCACCTTGGTGCTTCTCCCCAGGACCTATGAAGCAGTCGCTTCGCATCCCAGTACCCTCTTCCTCCCTCTGGCCTGAAGCAGCACCTGTCCTGGTGCTCCAACAGCACAGGGCCTGGGGGCAGCATTCAGCCTCCAGCTTGTGACAGAGGGCACAGGGGCCCCGGGAGGGCTGCATCAGGGGAGCAGATGGGGAGAAAAGGGTTCCAAGCGGTGACTGGGGCATTCAATCCTATGAACAGGAGTCACTGAGCAGAAAAGCAAGAGAAAACTATGCAAAAATGAGAACAAGCACTGTGAATTAGTTTGGCCAGAGCAATGAGGTGTTTTGTTTTTCTCCCCCTTACAAAGTGTGAATGGCAACACTCCAAAGCAGCGCCCGCCCCCTCCTCCCCTGAGTTTTTCATAAGAGAGCGGCAGGAACACACAGCAGCTAACAGATCTGAGAAGAAGCACGCCGGACAGCAACAAGAGCATCCACGGTACAAACAAGCGCTAGTCAGAATCACGCACACCAGCGACTGCAGCCCACACCTCACGACTCAGGAGCAAACCGATGCAGTGGGAACACCCTCCCAGAACCATGTGCATTAGTCATCGAGAAGATGGGGCAGAAAACCTGAAGGATTTCAGAAACTCGGGAATCTTATCATCTCTTACATCACGTGAAAACAAAGTAAGAAGCTATGAGACATGGAGAGGTCGGCTTGGAGATGCAGTGAGACGGGGATGACGTCTCCTGACAGTACAAAATGTTCTCTGGTGAGAGACAGTTTTCCCGTGCCCTCCCTTTCCTTTCTTTCCTCTTAATTTTCAAAACCGTAATTAGGTGTTACCTCATAAAGTAACTCACTCTTACGTTACACAGCAAAAAGAAAGCACTGTATTAAAGGTGCAAGAGAATGTAAACGCACTCATATTTCAAATAGTTTTGTGTGGCTGGCCACCTTTTCTGTCAATCTGCATTCAGAGAAGCTAGGATCCTTCTAGAAATTAAATTCCTTTCACATGAAAGGACTGGCCAGACAAGGGAGAGTACAGCATTCTCCTAAGACGCCCCGGTCCCGTTAAAGCTCCTCCCAGTAAAAAGAGATGCAAACAGCCAAAGACTGGTTAACTGTGAAAGGGACGGGGCGGACAAGAGGAAAACAGAGTGAGCCGGCAGAAAGAAGCTGCCACGAAGAGTTCTCAAGAGAGACGAGGCAGGTGGCTTGCCCAACTCTTCGAGCAGACACACGAAGAAGGCCTGGTGTGAGACACAACCCCGAAGTAGTGCTGACGGAATGAGAAATGGATGTTTGAAATATAAGAAAAAAGAAATCATGATGACTTATCTTTCTAGCTTGACAACTATATTGGTCTCGCTTACTGAAAACACAAAGTTTGCTTATAGGAAGGTGCTTTCACCACAAAATGCTTTTCACCATATAACTCTTCCATGGGGAGGGGAGAGGAGGGGGGAGGAGAAGAAATCTCAATTGTAGGTATTAGAAGGAAAGTCAGGGATGCGGGTATCTTAAGCATTTTCTGGTGCTTCCTCTTATCTTTAGCAGGGCAAGGTGTGGCCCAGCCTGCGCTAACTGGAGTCAGCTGGCAGTCCTTGCGGGGAGCACACCAGCTCTGGCATCCTGCGGGGAAGGTAACCCTCAAAGCACAGAGAGCACACACTAGGGGGCTGGGGATTTAGCTCAGTGGAACAGCGCCTGCCTGGCAAGCACAAGGTCGTGAGTTCGAGTCCCAGTACGGGAAAAAAAAAACAAAAAAAAGAGAGCACACACTGGAAAGACCTAGAATCCAGCACAAGATTCCACCCTGGGGGGAGACCCCAACTGCCCCCGGGTCCTTCCCACGAGAGAGGAGGCAAGTGCCCCCAACCCCAACTACTGTCACCAGCATTTACATCAGCCATGAAGGCCGCACCTGTCCCTCTGTGCAGCATTTCCGTCCACAGGGAAGGTCAGCTTGCTCAGTGGCACCTCACCTGTTTTTCCTGCTCCGCTTTCCCCAGTAATGAGAATGCACTGGTCTTTGTCTTGATCTCGGAGGGATCTGTATGCCTCGTCTGACAGGGCAAAGCTGCAAGGGAAATGAAAAAGAGACCTTAGAACTCAGACCCTTGCCATGTGCGCATGCGGTGTAATGGGTTCTCTGAAGGCCACTCCAATGGGCCTTGGGCAGCAAGCAGGACACCACATTTTATTGTCTTCAAATTCTTAAAATAATCATAAATCCCGCCCACACGGCCCACATTATCTCATCACATGCATCATCTATGAACCGAAATGGCACTGATCTATTATACTCTACAGAGATGCTTTTACCTAATCCCCATGCTATCAGGGTGGCGCTTGGTAATAAGATCAGGTGATTCAGATAACCAAGGAGAAAATGCTGCATATCACATGACCACAATGGGACAATGTTGAGCTTTTCATGGAGTTTCAATACAATCAGGAAAAAGAAATCTTTCCAAACACTAGAAAAATGCTACCAAATTACACATAGCTGATGTTAACATCATGAAGCTAAATACAGAGCTATCACCTTTATAGTAAACAAGGGAAGCTGAGGTACACCGGCACTATTAGGTTTGCGTGGTTCTCCAGTCCCGGGCCCTGACCTCCTATCCGATCTTAGGATGACAGGGCACCCTCCCAAGGAGGCCAGACCAGTCCCCCGACCTTTCCCTTCTCAAAATGTGCTAATAACATCAATCTTGCTCTTCCAGCTATCTGAAAAGGACTTCTGACAACAGATAGTATACTTAGAAAAGGTAAAGTTCCTCTTTCAATTCATTCCTTCACAAGTACTTATGAAGCGTCCATCACGGGAACACAGATACAACTCCACATCTTTCATGAGTTCTCGGTCAAAAGTAAAGCAACAAACAGGAAATGTATTTAGTAAGTGAAGCCCAACAATAAAAACAAATGCAAAGCGCTGCCCAGCAAGACCAGGAGCTCACTGGGTCCTCCCAGAGGGGAAAGACTGAAGAGTGGAGCAGGGGGTGAAGGGGACATCATGGAAGGGAAGGGTGATGGGCATTTCTGTGTCTAGAGGGCAAGGCATCAGGCATGGACATGAGCAACATCCTACAGAGAGATGTACAATTCCAAGTTAAGGACAGAGGTGATCAGGAGCCAACCACAGGACACAAACAGGGCGGCAAGGTCAGACAGCAAGGAGAACCAAGAGCAGTAACACTCACCGGGTACCAGAACTGCTCCCACCTCCGCTGTGTCTAACCATTTTCCATCTCACAAGCCCAGCACAAAGCAACGACCCGACTCGCCAGGGCCACAGCCAGGGTGACACAATGGAGACAACTAAGCCCTGCTTTGACTACCGGTGCTCTGTATCATCAGGAGTCACCAGGGGCGGGGCACCAGTGACACAGCGTGGCATGAGGCAGGGAGACTGGCGGTGTCCTGAGGCCCGGGGACAACTCACATGTGGCCACCAGACCACGGCAGCTTTCCATGGTGGCAGGGACTGGGCTTCTCTTCAGAAGGCCTGTGGAGGTATTAATACCACTTTCTCAGGATTTAGCTCAGCAGCACAGCGCCTGCCTGGCAAGCGCAAGGTCGTGAGTTTGATTCCTGGTACTGGAGAAAAAAAAAAAAATACCACTTTCTCCACACCTTCAACCTGCCAGGTGATGAGAGAGGTGTCCTCACATTCATAACTGGATTCTGGGCGGAAAGGGGACAGTCCTGGGAGTGAACTCAAGGCTCTGGCATGGAGCTATATCCCTAGCCATTTTATTTTTTATTTTGAGACAGGGCCTCACCAGGTTGCCCAGACTGGGCTCAAACTTGTGATCCTCAGCCTCCCCTCAGAGTGCTATGATGACGTGTGCACCATCACACCTGGCTGAGATTCATATTCCATAGAGCTCTTCAAAGTACATGTTATCCTCCTCAAGAAAAATCTCCCTGAAAGGTTGATGGAGACCACTACAAAACAGCCCTGAGCGGGACTTAAATTAACCAATCGACTTTCCATGGTTACTTGTGACTCTGTCCAAGGCCTAGGCTCCTTGTCTGGAAATGAATGGCAGACTCATAGTAAGTGAATCTCTGAGAGTCACTAATCCCTACTAAAACCTGTAGTGATGATGAAAGCAGAAAGCTTCAAAGGATAAGACAAGATCACAGCCAAGGACACCTGGATCCATCTCAACTAGATAAAGACTGTAGCCTCAGACATTTCACTCCTGGGTGGATTAACTTAACCCTTAATAAGGAGACTTAGAGAAGTCCTTGAGTGGTTCCGCCCTTCTTGGGTACTCCCCTCCCTTCTTCTGACAACCAAATAAACATGGGCCACCCAGAGAAGGTCTTGGTCTTAGCCCTGAGAGAATCTTGAATTCTGAGAGAGGTCTTTGATCTTCCTGGAGCCCTGAGATCATTCCATTTGCCTCTTTTTATTTAGCGTTCACTGTAGGCTCCTTCAGGAGATTGTGGACCTGAACAGCCCACAATAACTAAGGGACATAATTAACCCAGTAAGAGCTGATGTGAGAACCTCATGCTCAGAAGGGTCATAACTGGACTCCAGAAATACTATGAACCCCACCACGTCCTCCCACAGTGTTGTTATAGTGTATCTTACCTTCCAGCTGGATTACTGTGAACCCCTATAGGAGACCCGCCCCTCACCAGACATCTTGTCCCACATCAATGTGGCTTTTCATGTAACAAGGAATCTCTGAGTGTATCTGATGAGTGAGTATATGAATAAAGAAGGACAGACCAACAGGAAATGTAGTGACAATATCTGACACTCAGGGTCTCTTGCAAGTAACAGTGGTTACTTGTTCGTTCTTGCTTATTCATCTAAACAGTGCCCGTGGTAGAGGCCGATGGCCTCTGATTACCAGGTGGAAGCATGTACCCCCACCTCATGCATTGGGAAATGTGGGAGCAGAAGAGCTCTGGCTCACTGGGCCACAGATTCACAACTCACTTGCTCCATCACTGTTAGCAAGTCACTGGCCCTTGGCCGAACTTCACTTCACATACAGAACGGGAGGATGTAGCCAACTATGAGCATAAAGGAAAAACGTATGAAGATGCTCTGAAAGTGTCAACCCCCAAATAAATGTCACAACAGCTTTGTGTTACTGGCTCTCTTCTTACCTCCTACCAGAATATAAGCTCCTCTAAGGAAGAGGCTTCCTATCCTAGTAATCTCCACCCACAGAGCTATACGCATGAAATATAATCAACACCAAATTAGGGGTGAACGGATGGATGGATTCTCTCCAAGTAAGGGCAGAGCCACTTACAGGAGTGAGTGCCAAGAAGCACGGTAAACATGTGAAGTTGATCTCTTCTAAGACCCTCCTACGGGGAAGGAAAGCATTGCTTGGGTTGTTCTAATTAGCCTTCCTCCCACTTTGCCAACTTCCTAGTTCAGAGATGCCATTTCAGTACCATCTGCATTAAGCTGTGCAGAAAAGCACATTACCACTGAGTTCTTTGTGGACTGTTTGGTACAGGCCAAGGTCTGTGTTCCTGGGGCTGCAGTTTACCTCTGTATTTACACCAGATCCAAAGCAATGGAAAATTACTTCAAACCTGAACAACCCTACAGGACATGTACACACACTGATAACACAGAGAGAACGCCGAATGACCCTGCATGTGTTTATCATAACTCAAACACCGAAGTTGAACACTTTATTTTTTCTTGTCTGTCCAGACAGAAATGTAGTCATCCCTTGGCAACCACGGGGGCTGGATCCAGCATCTTCCCCCATCCCCACCCCATTCCCCTGGAGACCAAAAATCAGCGAATGCTTAAGCCCTTCTGTAAAATGGCTTAGTACACAACGCATCCTCCTGGATACCTTAGGCAATCTCTGGATGACTCATAATACCTAATACAATGGAAATGCTACATTAACAGTTGCTACATCCACCACTTAGTGCACAGAGACTGCGGATATTTAGCACAGTATTTTTCCCTAGTATTTTCGACCCAAGGTTGGCTGAGTTCCTGGATACAGAGGGCCAACTGCACTGAACTGTCTGTCTCCAAAGACAGGGCCCGCCGCATCTCGTGGAGAGATGTTCTCAGTAGAAGACAAGGGCTAAAAGAGATTTATTCTTGCAGGACTCTGGAGAGCCACTGATTTCCAACTGACATGAAAATCCACCAATTAAAGCCCTTGGGCCCTGGGAAACCTCAACTGCTTTTCTGATTCACTGTCAAAGGGAGGTAAAAGTCCTCACACCAACTTCTTACCAACCCAGAACATCACTTTGCTTTTTGGTTTTTTAAATTTGCCCATGAGAGGGTCCCAAGGAACCGAAGCCCCCTCTAGATCTTGCCTGTCTCCCTCCCTGGCAACATGAGCTGTAGCCAGGCTGAAGGCCAGTGTTTATATCTATAAACTGAAACCACATGCCAGTCCTCCAAACCCCTCTGTAATTAAGGAATCTAAATAAATCTTTAGAGAAGTTGTTAGTTGAAACCAGTTGTGACCCATATGCTTCTCGTTATTTTGTGACCATGTCAGCATTGTTATTTACCACACACAGAAATAAACGGTTAATTATAATACGAGGACGATAGCGTCAGGGGGTAAGCATGATTTCGGGCCCGCCACATCAAGCGCGCTGTTTGATCTGCTTCATCTGTCCTCTCGGTGAGCCCTGGGACTAGGGGCAGCCTGGGCTGTCTGTGTGGCCCCCGTCAGCTCCAGATCAGCTACACGGCTGCTCCATGGCAGCTAAACTTCGCAAGCACCAAGTACGTCCGCAGCACATTTCCAAACAGCTGCCTCTCTCCTTTCAGGCTCCGGGAGGCTGGTGAGGAGCTCTCTGTTATTTTCTGCCATGGTGGAATGTGGGGTTGCACGTTCACAACTGCCCAGCTGGTATTTATGTTCCTCTGGCATCTTCCTCTGCCCACAGTGTTCATCACAGTGGCTCCGCTTCCATGGTCACCAGGGCAGTGGCAGGGTTCTCCTCCCAGCCCCATGTTCTCCACCCTGCCATTTCCTTGCTAAGTTTGTTTCCCTCTAATGCAAAGCACAGCTGTCTGCCACACCAGATGCATCACCCGCC